GTGCTCTCAAATGAGCCAGTCACTAATTATTTTTTAGCAGTGCTGTTCCATCATTTGGAATTTTTAGCAGCACTGTTTGCCCATACTCCATTGTTTTTGAGTCTAAAAACATATTTGGTTGCTTTGACAAATGTCTGTGTACTTGCTCAGACCCTTGGATTGAGTTAAATCTGGGGTAGAGGAGGAACCAATCACACCATTTATCAGACTTGATATAACTTTGTTCTCAACTGAGACAAAATATCTGATGCATTAGAAATCTGCATCCTGAAAGGCTTTTTCTGTGTTTATATTCTAAGATTATTTTTAAAGAGCATTTCTGAATGTTTTATTGTGATAATTTAAGTAGCAGGAGGAGGTCTGTGAATGTCACTTCCCTATATATTAGCATGTCCAGTTCTTGTTTCTGTGCTACGACTGGCAAAATGAGTCCACCTGCAGCAACTCATTAATCACTTCTCTGCAGCAAGAATCTCTTGAGTTTGATTTCCGCTCTCATCGTATCTGTCAGAAAATACCTATTGGATTGACATACTAAAGTAACTGCCAAATGTTAGTGTTGCCAACAGTCCAGTTACCTAAATGTAAAAGCTTTATAAAAGCCAGCAACATTTGCTCAGAATTGCAGCAGCTTTGATGAAGGTGAGTTATTTTTTTTTGAGGGCAGATTTAAAAAAAAGCAAACAAAAAAAAAACAGAACAACTTTCTTGTTATAACAATTTAGTTCTAGTTTCCAAGACCACTTTATCTTCTCGATTTTACAGATCAGCATTCAGTGGAATTCCATACTCCAGAAGTTCCACATTTCACTTGGAACTGTTGGTCCAAACTCAGGTTGCAGTAACTGTCACAACACAATTCTGCACCAGCTCCAGGAGATGTTTAATAAAACACCCAACGTGGTGCAGCTGTTACAGGTAACCCTTGGTAATTATTTTTTTAAAAAAAACATGCAATGTAACTGAGATCTGGATTCACATGAAAACCTTCTCTTCAAAGTTACATGTGTTATGGGTGCTTATGGATCTCACGGGAAGAAAGTGGCCTCTGGAGGATTGTATCTCTTTCCAGGTTTTCCATGACTTTTGCTTTTAGAAACGATCCGCTCGATCTCCGTTTGTGCCCTCTCCCAGGTTCTGTTTGACACTCAGGCTCCGCTAAACGCCATCAACAAGCTCCCCACCGTGCCCATGCTGGGCCTGACGCAGCGCACCAACACGGCGTACCAGTGCTTCTCCATCCTGCCGCAGTCGCCCACGCACATCCGCCTGGCCTTCAGGAACATGTACTGCATCGACATCTACTGCCGCAGCCGCGGCGTCGTCGCCATCCGTGACGGCGCCTACAGCCTCTTCGACAACAGCAAGATCGTCGAGGGCTTCTACCCTGCGCCCGGATTGAAGGTGCCTCTCTCTGTGTTTCCCGGCGCGTTGCGAGTAGAGCGAGCGTGGCTTGAAGTATGGATTGGGTTAATTTTGTGTAGAGCTGCCGTGCTTCCGGAACCCTGAGCACAAAATTAATTTTCCGAGTAATTTGTGAGTTAAAGCATTTTCTTTGAAACAATTAGTGCCAAGTGTCGTTTTATTTTTTAATTCCACAATAAAGTAATGTAGAGACTCTTTTAGGCATCCCTTTTGTTAAAACTCACTGAAGCTTTGTGACTAGGCTAGGCTTATTCTTCAGGATTCTAAGTGACTGTTTCTTTTAGGCATCCCTTTTGTTAAAACTCGCTGAAGCTTTGTGACTAGGCTTATTCTTCTGGGTTCTAAGTGACTCCCAAACTTTGTGTGGTGGGACAGTGCTCTGCCCTTGCAGAAGAGGAAACTGGATGATTCTGGATACTTTGGTTAAAATGATTTCCACTGGCACGTGACAGGAGCCTGTGGCTTTCATCTTAAATATGATGCTACCTCATTCTTCTGAAAAATGAATCTGGGCCCATTTTGATAGAACACCTTTGCTAAGAGCGGCTTGTACCACTTCTAGTTTTTCCAAAATATTGGAGGATGGACCTTTTATGAAACAAGATAGTTTCCTAACTCTTCTGATGATGATCACTACTGAATGCTTATTCTCTGGCACTGTATTTAGCTAGTCCTAAACATATAACTATTTGAAATATGCTTTTCTCAACAATTCCAAGCAAAAAGCTGCATCAGGGCAGTTTTAGGTGTGCAAAAGGCCAATAGATACTGATGATTTGTTCTGGAGTGGCTGTAGAGCTGCCAAAGTCTAGAAATGGAAAGGGTTATTTCTAAGTGCAGATGGTTAACTATGTTTTAAGAAAAATAGCTAGTCATATTTCATGTTAATGAGCAAGGTTTCTTATTTTAGAAGACTTACATAATCAAACAGAAAGAAGATGGGGGTGCATAAGCTTAAACATCCACTGTAAAGCTATGTTCAAGGGTTTATATTTTTTAAGCTATTAATATGTGACTAGCAGTTGGTTCTAGAGACCTACCTGTTTGTGGCTGATAAAGGTAGTATTAAATCTCCGCAGATAGTGGGCTTAATTATATAAAAAAATTAATTGGGGAAAGTGTTCACTAACAAAACCTATTTATCCCACAGACATTCCTGAACATGTTTGTTGACAGCAACCAGGATGCACGAAGACGATCTGTAAATGAAGATGATAACCCACCCTCTCCTATTGGAGGTGACATGATGGATTCATTGATGTCTCAACTCCAACCCCAGCAACCACCACCGCAACCACAACAACAGGTAACATCCAGGCAAAATAAGAATTGATGATCATTTTCCACAACTACAGGTTTTCAAGAACTTAAATTCTGAAAGGATTGCCAATAAAAAGCAAAGGGACACTATAAAACTTCTCCATTCCAGAACTGCTCTTGGTGGGGAACGTATTAGTTTGATCACTTCTTTTTGCAGTGCAGGGAGCACATAACATCAGCACCAGCTTTGGAGGGTCACTTGTGACTTGCACCTTAGACACAAAGAATTGAAGGGGAAAAGCTATATTTTGAGACTGAAGTATTGAGGGATGGAGGAAGGGGCTGAAAGGTTTTCTGTATAAGGTGCCAAATGAAGAGTAATGGGAGTGCAGAAATGTGCAGTCTGTGTTTCTATGGTTTGAAGATCCACATCTTTAAATAAAAAGTGGTGAGTTCTGAACAAGGTGGTATAGAAAGTAAAATGATGATTAAGCTATCCAAGCCTATAGATAGACACTGAGCTTGTATTAGCATTCTGCTGTACATTCTTCAGTTTTAGTACAAAATAATTAAACTGTTTTTGTTGTCCTGTGTTGGTGCTTCCAGGCATTTGCGAAACAGGCAGGTGCCTCGGGAGCATATCCTCTCACTTCTCCACCCACCTCCTACCACAACACGGTGACGCCATCTCCATCCATGATGCACACACAGTCACCAGGTAAGATGGCTGAGAATCTGTGTGCAGTTCACGTGCTGCAAATGCACAGCTGCTTTTTGTATGTGTTTTTTAGTTTTTTTCATTTTTTTAATCTGTGCTTGGCTCCAAGTTAACCAAGCAGTGCATGTTACCATGTGAAAAATAGGGTAGTCCTGCCAAGCACAATTTGGAAAGCGTATTTTGAAACCAGACAATACATGCAGTTTAACTGTTATCTTTTAGCTATGTAATATTTTACCTCAGCATGAAGGGACTTTTGGGACTGTGTTAAGACTTATAAAAAGGCTTAACACTTACCAAAGCCTGTTCATTTTAATATCTCTTTCTTCAGAGGAGCTTTTTGTCATGAAAGGTCAACTTTCTACTCCTAGTCGTTACAGTGCAACAACAAATAATATCTAAATTTGAGGAATGGTTGGGTGGAGAGGGAGAGAATTGCCATTCTGCAAGATAAGTATCTCAAAAAGCTTGCTGAATCAATCTGGAAAATACAGTCCTTTTACGTGTAGAAAATGCACCCTTTGAGTGTAAGAGGGGATTCTAGTGCATCTTGTTTGCCATTTCCCAAACAGGTAACTGTAATAGGTAAGTAAGAAAAACTTGTAACACAGACATGGGAAATGTGGGTGATGAGAGACTTGGTTGCTTTGACTAGGAAATCTGCATGCTGCAAGCTCACCTAGTGGAGCTCTGAGAGCACCATCACCAGCGTCGTTTGGTCCAACTCCTTCACCTTCTTCCCTTGGAATCACAATGGGGCAAACGGCCAACTTTGCCAGCCCACACGGTGAGTTCTTTTACTGGCACATATATACATATATGTATATATATATATAGGGAAAGCAAACTTGCCTCTAAAAGTTAAGCCTTTCTGAGCAAACTTAAGGTAATTGGGAAAAGAATAAATCTTTATTGGGTGAAGTAGCTGTTTTTGTAGATGTAGTGCGCTTGTTAATGGTAGTTACAAGTAACTGCATGGCATGTGGAGGTATTCCTAACATTTTAAAAGTTAACTATTAATCACGCTCTTTCCTGCTTTACTGGTTTGGGTAAATTCTGTGTGGCCTTGCAATTAAACAATGGCTGCAGCTGCTTAGTCGTCTGCATCTTTTAAATGACCAGTCTCCTTTTACATTAGCTACTTTGGTTTCACTATTTAAGTTTCCTGAAAGAACAACAGACAGGTTAAAAATTCAAGTACTTGGAATTTGAAAAGGTCCTACGGGCTTGACATATGCAAGCAAAATGCCTTTTGCTCCTTTATTATTTTGAAAACTGCCAGAACAATTGTGTTGCAGTCACATATATTAGAAATTGCTCTATAGATAGCAAGAAATTAACAGTTCAGATCAGAAACTTAGCACACCGTTACAATTGGCAAGATGACAAAATGAGGTAGATGCACAATATACTGTTTAAGAACCTTGTTCTGATCAGCCTTTATAAGCAAGTACTAATCTAAAGATATTTCTGCAAAAATAACTTTTTAATTAATCAAAATAGCCAAAGAACAGTTTGTGTGAGGCTTTCATTCACTAAGGAGCAAGTAGAAGACTCAGTCCACAGGGAAGAGCTTTTTTAGTGTTAAATAGCTGTTAAATATATGAATTTGTCTTAATGTTCAATTCTATTTTACTTTTTTGAAAACATACAATCAGAAAACACTTGAAATTAATTTTTGATTTCAAACACACCCCAGTTCACACATGCTTTTTTTACATGGTTGTAAAATCCATTCTAAAAGATTGCAGATATTTCTGCTATTAGTATTTTAGAGATTTTAGTAAGCTATTTTTTTTTGGTGATTTCTAGACTAGAAAGCCTTTATCTTGAAAAAAAAGATGCTGATGGTTTTGTAACATCCGTAGGTACCATAGACCCAAGCTCACCATACACCATGATGTCACCCAGTCAGCGTGCAGGGAACTGGCCGGGATCTCCGCAGGTCTCTGGTCCCTCACCAGCAGCACGAATGCCTGGAATGTCACCAGCCAACCCTTCCCTCCATTCACCCATCCCAGATGCCTCTCATTCCCCACGGGCTGGAACAAGTAGGTCACATTCACAGTGTCATGACTGTGCAACACTTGCGTTTAACGTTTCTGGTTCTGTGGATTTGGTAGCGCTGTGTCTTGGCCTAACAGTCCTTACTGCCCTCGTGCAGTGAAAGATCTAAGGAGGTGATGCCCTATGCTATTCATTCTGGCCTAGTCAGCTCTTTTTTTTAAAGCAAATTGGAAAGCAGGTTAAATCATAGAGTGTAAATTTCAACAGGATTCATGTCTCTTGTTGAACTGTAGAAATTAGCCTCAGACTATTGAGCTCTGTGAATGTGGAAAAAATCCTTCAGAGTGAAAGCAGTGCTAGGCATATTTGCCCACCCAGAAAGTAACTTTTTACCTTATAGAGCTGTAATACTGCTCTTACAGTGCTGATTTAACTGTCTTTACATTTAATTCAGTTTGTTTTACGCAGTTTGTGCCTTCTAGAGAAAGCGATGGGAGTAGGACTGAGCTTTATTAAGACTCTTAGCATGGGTGGAGGGTGAAAACTCTAATTCCTTGACTTTGCTTTGCTGAAGCCCTGCCCGTAAGGCAGCCAAATGCTTACATAAGAAAGATTAAGCTTTGAAGCAGAAAAACTTACTGCTTATACAGTGGCAGCAAATAAAGTGAGCGCATATGCTAGGTTTCAGCTTAAAGCAGCGCTTACTGTGGATGTGTTTTCCGTGCCAGGTTCCCAAGCAATGCCGACCAGCATGCCTCCGCCTCGTAAACTACCTCAGCGGTCCTGGGCTGCCTCCATCCCCACCATCCTCACTCACAGTGCCTTGAATATTCTGCTGTTGCCCTCTCCTACCCCAGGCCTCGTGCCAGGACTAGCTGGCAGCTATCTTTGCTCCCCTCTCGAGCGATTCCTTGGATCAGTTATTATGAGGAGACATCTTCAGAGGATCATCCAGCAGGAGACGGTATGGTTTAGCTTCTGATACTGACCTGACTCTACAGGTGTTTTTTTTTTCATGCTTCTGGACACCATGTCTTTCAGATGCAAACTGGTTTTGCTTCAAGTGTAATTTATCTCCTCTCTTAGAATTGCTAACAGTGAAATTGGGGAACAGCTCTGGATATTGTTGGGGCTAGTGTGGCCATTTTCCTAGCTGGAACTTAAAATTTAGCTTCTAGTTTGGGGAGACATGTTAAGCTCTACTCTTATTGCTGATGACTTATTATGGTATACTACTCAATTTTGCTGCTTCAAGCATCAGCATTTTTAAAAAAGCATTTAGTTCTGCTTCTCTTTCACAGAAATGAGGAGTAGAAAACTCATTTAGTCAGTTGAAATATGATAGCTGATATAATAGCAAGACTATGACCTTATTTTCTGATGCTGTGGATTCTGTGAGTTCAGCCTGTATGCTGCTAAATAGCTAGAAATAGCCATAGGGTTACTCCAAATGCTGCCTCCTCGTAGGAATGCCCCCAAAACCAGCTACCAGCTAGCAATAACTGAACTGCTCTGCCATGAATGTTTCTTTAGAGTTTGGGACAGAAAATGTGTGCTGCTTCACCTGGACATTGGTTCAGGAAAGAGAAGGATGAGTCATGCAGAAGATGCATTGCTCAAGGCAATTTTGACCCCTAGGTAAACAGCACATGTTTTGTGTGTGGTAAATACTTTATTTAGGGAGAGAGAGAACAGATTGATGTCTAGGAGCTTGGGAGTGAATGTGTGTGTGTGTTCATGCTATTTAGCGAATTCAATGTGATACTTCTTTTCATGCAGCTCCAACTAATAAACTCCAATGAACCAGGCGTAATTATGTTCAAGACAGAGGCGCTGAAGTGCAGGGTTGCTCTCAATCCCAAAACCAACCAGACTTTGCAACTAAAAGTGACACCTGAAAATACAGGACAGTGGAAATCAGAGGAATTACAAGTTTTGGAAAAGTTCTTTGAAACAAGAGTATGTATTCACATTACTGATGTTCCATTTTGGGGGTATTGTTTTTAATCTGTGGTTATTTGAGTTGTTCTGTTGACACTGGGTTTAGTGACACTTAAGGGCTGCAAAGTAAAAGATTAACTGCTGGACAGGCTGATTTATGATATTAAATAATACAGCTTTGTCTCAATAGGCAGTACTAATTGGTGTTTTATTGCTCTAGGTTGCAGGACCACCTTTTAAAGCAAACACCCTAATAGCCTTCACAAAATTACTAGGGGCTCCAACACACATCCTCAGGGACTGTGTACACATCATGAAGCTTGAGCTGGTAAGTTAACTGCTCTGTTTCGTTCACTCAACTTCAGTTACTACATTGAAAAACTAGGTGTTATTTTTATCTATGAACACATTAATTACTCTAAATTTATATAGGTGTTAGTCAGCATTAATGGAAAATTTAAAATTTACTGTAAATTGTATTGGAAAGTAACAGAATTTTTCCCTTAAACTGATAATCTTGAGAAACTGCAGACATGCTTCTGCATGATAGACATACTAGTAGCCTGGGTAGAGCCTTCCTGAATGGGTTCTTGCTCAAGTCTGAGAGAACTGAACATGTATTTTGACCTTTGCTAAACCTGGGAACATCTGCATATTTAGAAGTGAGGCATATTCTGCCTGTTAACGCTTCCCTGTTCCGTAGACGTGTGTGCCTCTGACACGAGACTTGTGCTATTCCTTCTCTGTGCTGCTCTCTTGAAACAGTTCCCGGATCAGGCAAGTCAGCTGAAGTGGAATGTGCAGTTTTGTTTAACAATTCCTCCTAGCGCACCGCCAATTGCGCCTCCGGGAACACCTGCTGTTGTGCTGAAGTCCAAAATGTTGTTTTTTGTAAGTCACTTATCTGTTTTGACATTCTTATGGGCTGCAAGTATTCAGAAGGATCACCAGTTAGTAGCAAAATATACGCACGCTCTGTGAGATAACCACAGCTGCTAAAAATGTCCTGCTGTTTGGGAGCCTAGGGTTGCGTGCTGCACTTCTGTAGCAAGTCCAGTGAGTATTCCCTGTCCCCTTTCTATGAAGATCACACCAACTCTTAGGTAACTTGCTGAGCAGTTTGCCTTTTGTCCTCCGTGCGGAGATGTGAACTGTATAACCCAAAGTTCGGTTACCTGTGCGTAGAACAAATCTGTATGGTCGTGATCTCCGAGGGATGTTCACGAGTGAAATAGTTTACAACCAGGTGAAAACTAATCAGTCACAGAAATGATGCCTGGGAACTAAGGGAGGTGGAAAGCCAGTCTGCAGGTGTGCAGTGTTTAACTGGGAGTTGAGCTGAAGGGCATAGCTGAACTTAATGCCTTTGTTTTGTTTTGCCCACAGCTTCAGCTAACGCAGAAAACAGCAGTCCCCCAGGAAGCTGTTAGTATTATCGTCCCGATTATTTATGACATGGCTTCGGGTACAACTCAACAGGCCGACATTCCCAGGCAGCAGAACTCTTCTGTTGCTGCTCCAATGATGGTTAGCAATATTCTAAAGAGGTTTGCTGAACTGAATTCACCACGACCAGGTACTGTACATGTCCAGTAGCTATATACTGTCCACACAGACATCTGTGACAAATCGCCAGTGTAAAACTAAATTTGAGGCTGAGCTTTTGTTGATTTCTATGACCTTAGTGACAACAAAATCCCATTGGGACAAGCGATAGACAACTTAATAGCTAGTGCTGGCAATGCAGCAGATGTTTGTGCCAGAGGGTTGTGTTGATACAAACTGGATTTCCCTGCTTTGCCACAGGGATAGAAAGCACCTATTGTTGGCCTAAGTCTTGCTGCAGAGTGGCAGCCATAACATTTTAACAAGTGGGCCCAGAGTGAATCGCAATAAATGGGCTGTGGTTAAGTATCAGTTTTCATGCTTAACTATAAAATTATGGAGCTTAACAGTAGAATAAAGGGATGTTAAAATAATTGTCAAGACTTGTCCATGTTCTGTGAATGATAAAAAGTGGAGTAATTGTGTGCGTTTCTGTCGGCGCATACGCTGACAGAGGCGCATACAGCTCTGTCCACTGAATGTGCTGTGAAGTGTTTGAGCTAAATAGCTTGTTCTGAATGTTCACTGGCCTGTAGGTGATGCACTGTGGGCAGCGTCGTTCTTTGCTCTCCCTCCTGTTGCTCTTGCTTTTCATCCGGTTAATACCTGAGAGCGCTGAATAATGCTAGCAGGTTCTCCGGGCAGCGTGTCTCCTGCAAGTGGTGGTTTGGGAGGCTAATACACAAATGGCTCATAAGAACAAGGCCTTTCAGTGCTGCTGTAGTTGCATGCTGAAGAACAAAGTCTTTTTTTTCTACATAACCTGGTGAACAGATTGAAGTCGTGAGTCCTGAGGCTGAATTCTACTTCTGTGTATTCATTGTGTTGTGCAGTAGCTTTTCCTGTGCTTGATGGCTTATTTGGAGTGCTAGAACATAAGTAATATTTATCTTAAATTAGTATGGATATGCATACACTTTGTAAAATTATGATGAGGTTAATATTAGACGTGCATTTTCTGTTTAACATGCAGGTGAATGGGGCCGGTAACAGGCAGAGAGAGCCTTGGGGCAGTGTGGGCTGTGAGGTCTGTGTCTGATGGTGGGAGCTGTTGGTTGTGCAGCACTTTTATTTTGTGATACATTGACACAGCTGTTTCCTTTGGGAAGTGTTTGCCCACCTAGTCCTAGTGCAGAGGGGTAGACACTTGTTTCGCTTTTGTGTTTTAGGGTAAACCCTCCACCAAATGCCACAGCACAGGGAGCAGCTGCCAGAGGTGTTGGAGTTGTTGTCTTGCGATGAGCAGGAAGATGAGGGCAGCCAGTTTCTTGCATGTCACGTGAGGCTCGATGGCATTTAGGAGGGCAGCAGAGAGAGCAGAACATGGGCAAGGAAAAGCCCATAGAGAGGGAGCTTGTGGCCCCAAGTAGGGCCTCATCCAGGCAAATATTTTCTACCTTATCCAGTAGAAAAGTATACCATACCTTCCTTCTTTAGCTGTTGAAAGGTATAGGAGAGCCCCCCTAAGAAAATTATCTGCAAGAAGTAAGAGTGAACGACTGGGAGACTTCTCCTTTTACAGCAGCAGTGCCTTTGACATCCCAGGTGCGCATCCTTCATCCTAGGATGCAGTTATTGCTCTGTCCAGCTCTGCTGCTGCTTTTACTGCTTTTGGCTTGAAGGGAATTCATCCTTTCAGTCAAAAAGGTCCAGGGCTTCCCACCATGCAAGTTTGATCAACTGGGACTTGGCTTGTAAATCATCATCAGTGTTGCCCCATTTTGGCTGAATCTTTTTTTACTTTTTTCTCTTTGTGGGAAAGGCATTTTGTATCAGCCTAACCTTCCTCTTAATAAAACGCTAGTAACTGAAAAGTGAGTTCTTCTGGAAGAGTTTTGTTTTCAGGCTGGTGGGCAAACACATTAAGCTTAACAGCAAAATGTTGTTTTAACGGTAAAACGTGGACTCATTGTGCATATACTGTCCTTCCGAGAGCGTTTTACCCACCCCTCTGTGGGGGAAATGTGTTTTTTCAGCAGTTATGTGAACTGAGGAATAGGAGAATCCCTGGCGGAATCGGTGCCCGGGAATAACGGGGTGAACTTGGGCTGCGCGTCCTGACGTGCCGTGGGCAGGAGACCTCGGTGTGGCGAGGAAGGAGGCTCCCTAGAGGCGCAGGGCAGGGGGAGGCTCCAGCCGGAGCTCCGCTCCTCATGGTGCTTCCCCAGGTGCTTCCCGGCCAGGCGCGCTCGGCGTTGGGTTCGCAGCAGTGCTGCACGCGGCAGCGAGCCGGGATCCGCAGCGGGACGCGAGCTTTGCCGTGGGGAGGGCTTGCCCAAACGCCGCGTGGCCGCCGCGAGCCGGGCGGGGAGGATCCGCGCGGCCCAGCCATGCGCTGCTCCTGCCGCGTGGTCCACAGTGCTGCCCAGCTGCAGCAGGGAAACTCAGTGTCTCCTGGTTGGTGTTTCTGAAAATAGGCAGGAGAAACTCAGCCCTCCGTGACAGGGTGCGGTGGTGGGAATTAACTGTATTATCAAGAAAATGGGGATCTAAGCTACAGCTGGCTAATTTTTCACCCTTTGTTGGGCTGATGAAACCTTATTCTAATGGTTTTAATTTTTCAAACTGTTTCATAGTATGTGTACGTATTTGTCAAAAAATGCCCTCTTGAGAACTTGAAACAGCTGTGGTCTTTGTATAAGAATTTTGTTTGTTTTTCTTTGTAATTATTTTGTAGTTTAGAAGTCGAGGCTAGAACCAGGGCAGTTCAGGTGAAATAAAAAGGTCGTTTGACTTTTGTGCAGAGTTAAAATTAAAAAATAATAATAACATTTTTTAAATCAAAATTGAATCCAGGTTTTGGTCACAAAAAAAAAAAAGAAAAAATAATAATTTTTAAATTAAATCGAATCCAGGTTTTGGTCACCAAAAAAAAAATGTTTTGGAGCTCTGTTCCGGATTTGGGTGTTTTGAAATGTGTAGCTTCCGCTTGTAACCAATACGAGTAGAACTCGGAAAAGCTTTCGGATAAGATGCAGCGCTTTTGATTAACCCCCTCCAGCAAAACACAGCCCATAACCCTGAGCGCCGGGCGCCCCCGGCATCCTCCAAAGCCCTTACAAGCGGGACCCGCGAGCGGTGCCTCCGCGGACCCCGCTGCGAACGGGGGCGTTTTGGAGGCGGCCTCGCGCGGGTGGGAGCCCCGGCGCGGAGGGCGGCCGCACGCGCGCGCGCGTCGCTAACCTGTCTCTTTTCCCTGTTCCAGGTGAATGCACAATATTTGCCGCCGTTCGGGATTTGATGGTTAATCTTGCGCTGCCCCCTGGTGGGCGTCCCTAGACACTTTTAAAAGAAGGCTGAAAAAAAAAAAAAAAAAGAGACAAAACGGCAAAAAAATAAATAAATAAAATCTCTCGCTGAAATAAGCCTTCGGTTAAAAGAGGACGTTTAAATTTCACTTGTTTTTTTTTTTTTTTTTAAAAAGAGCTAAATATAATAAACTGGCAAACTTTCAGGGATGCACTTTCATCAAATGAGTATCACCACGACTTTTGTATAGTGCTGTTGTATAGTGTGTTTTAATGGGAGACACTTCAGACTAGGTAATAGATTGAAGTATCAGCTTGCTGGTAATAGATTTAATATTCTGTTTTATACTATAAAAACTATGAAAATGCCAAACTTGTTTGTTTTTTGTTTTTCTTATGTTTTGGTGTAATAGTCTTTTTTTAAGGCAGGTCTGTCATTTTGAATACTGTAAAACTGTGACAAACTTTATATTGAAGCTGTATTTTAATATGACTGCTTTGAATCCTTAAACAAATTATTTGGGCTTGTTGTAAACATGTCCCCAAAAAGCAATATTTAATAAACTGGATTAAAAAAATCTTAAGATGGGTCTTGTTATAATCTTAAACTTTGGTTTTTCCCCTCTAGTCACTGGCCACATGTCTTACATTCACACTTGTTTGGCGATCTCTGTGGGTAATTCGCTTTTCGCACATGTGCGTGCCCCCTCTTTGAGAAACAAGCCAAAAAAATCTGCTTCCCCCCACTCCCGAAAAATTCTTAATTTACTAAGTAGTTGGTTTAATTCTAAATCCCAGAAATATGGTTTGTCTGTTTTCCTAGTGTTATTATTTTCCTAACTGTCATTATTTAAAACAGAGCTTCAGCGCTTAGGTTGTTAAGAACTGCTTTATATTCTTTCCCAGAAGCAGGTACAGAGATTGAAGCACCTGCTTTTTTTTTTTTTTGACCTGTAATGGAACTCTTATTAGTCAAGACTCTATAAAAATAGATGCAATGAGTGGTCATACTCCAAAGGCAGGCAGGATAAATGCTTGCCCAGTATGCTGTGAAAGGGAGAGGCTGCTCTAAGAAAGCTGAATTTAACCAACAAAGTAACCGTAGAAGCCACCTCATGTTCAACTTGTGGAAGTGGATGTAGGCAGCTTGTTAGTGCTGACTGAACCTGCTGATTGTAGCACAGGGAAAATTTCCACCTGAAGGAGTTTTTCTTCACTTGTTTGTTCACATTTATCACTAGTCCCAAGTTTTACTGAGTTCAGGGTGTTTTTCCAGGTTCCTCGGGGCAGGGTCTTGTGCTGCTCTACCCTTTTCCTCTCCCACTGACTTCTGTTGTCAATCTGCTCAGCCGGAGCTCGTTTTAAACCCCCTTTTCTGCCCTGCCTCACCGGGGCCGGCCCCGGCCCGCGTGGGCCCCAGGCCTCTGCGCGCGGCCTGCGCACATCGCCCTTCCAGGCGGCATCCACCACCCTCTGCGCTGGGCAGCCCTGGCTCCAACTCGGGGATTTTGCTTAAAATTCCCCTTCGGTCTAGGGGCTGGAATTCACCGCGGGAGCAAGAGCTGATGCTGGGCAGTGTTGTTTCTCTCGTCTCACAAAAGGAAAAATTGGTAAACGTTTAGAGCACAGAGAAGTGGTTGATCTGTAGTGTCTGTCATAAATAATTCTAATGGTCATAACTCATATTTCATTTTTGTTACCCTAACACACTTTCTAGCTCTCAAATCAGGTTTGTATGATGTTTCCACCTCTGTGTTTTACTGTGTCTGTCTGGGGCAGTGCAGGCTTCTGGAGGACAGCTGTGAGGCAGAGCTGCCCTCCTCGCCTCTTCCTCACCTGTAGCCACTCCAGAGATACAAATCAGCAGGCGGTCACAGAGCTGAAACTGAGCAGGCCCTTTCCAAGGAGTCCTTTCTTCCCTGCCACGTTGTATGGTATAGGCAAGAGCACCAGCTTCCCTTACACAAAGGTCAGAAGAAGCAGTATCTGTGCTGTGCCCAGCATGGTGGCAGCTGGATTGCACCAGGCAGGAGGGAACATCCCCATCCTCTGCACCTCCCGTCCATGAGTCCTAGCCCAGCAGCCCATGCTTTTCCTTCTAGCTTGTGGAACTACTGGAGAGAGTCCAGCACAGGGTTATGAGGATGATCAGGAGCCTGGAGCATCTGCCCTATGAGGAGAGGCTGAGGGAGCTGGGCCTGTTCAGCCTGAAGAAGAGAAGGCTGAGAGGGGACCTGATCAGTGTCTATAAGTACCTCAAGGGAGGGAGTGAGGAGGATGGGGCCGGCCTCTTTTCAGTGGTGGCCACCAATAGAAATAGAGGAAATGGCCAGAAACTGAAGCACTAAAAGTTCCACATGAACTTAAGGAATTTTTTTTTAACAGTGAGGGTGACAGAGCACTGGAACAGGCTGCCCAGAGAGGTTGTGGAGTCTCCTTCTCTGGAGATCTTCCAAACCCACTTGGACGCAGTCCTGTGCCACGTGCTCTAGGTGACCCTGCGTGTGCAGGGGGTTGGACTAGAGGATCTCTAGAGGTCCCTTCCAACCTTAAAGGATTCTGTGATTCTGTTCAGGGGATCAAATGCTGCCACGAGCTAATGCGGTGTCAGAAGTTCGACTTCCCTCTCTCTGGTTGGAGGAATCTGGGGAGGTGACTTTGGACTTGCTAAGTGGATTCCAGGCTCCGCCAGAGGTTGGATCTGCTAATGCAGCTATAAAAATGGTAAAACAGATGCCTCTGCTTTCTTTTACCTTTAATAAGAAGCACAGGGTTGGAAGTGGTCTCCTGTGCCTCCATTTCCACATCCCTTCACAGCAAGTGCACTGTAAAATTCCATTTATAAACTTAGCAGCTTCCACCTCAAAATCAGTTCCTTTTGCCTGTTTTTAAAGTCCCTTCAATATTCCCCTTGGGAGTCTGTTGAGGATCTTTACTGCTCCAGGGTTCATAAGGTACCCAAGAAATTGCATTAACAGCAGAAAGCTGTGAGCAAGAAGCTGTGCACGTAAGTGTCTAAGGAAGCACCTGCTCCTTTTAGTGTTTTATTTCCAAACTCCAGTTCCTTTGGGCATGGGTAGCACCCAGTCAGGCAGTGGCTGCTAAATGGTGGTTTTGGAAGTGCAGTTAATTCATTCTCATGCAAAAACAAACAAACAAACCCCTCCTCTCTGCAGGAACTCTTCAAACTAGCCCAAAGTTAAAGAGCGGGAGGAAGGAGGGAGAAGGAGAAGCTGTTCACACCTCGAGTCTCTGCAGAGGCGCAGGGCACCTGCAGGAGTTGCAAGATGAGAAAGAAGGTTTGGGACCTGCCGGCAACTAAGGGAACAAAGCTGGAAGTACTGAAGGAGCAACTGCAAGAGGCCTGTCTTCTGGACAGGCTCCCTTCGGGAGAGGCTGTCTGAAAAACCACATCAGCCTTTCCCCCTGAGGCCACTCTGTCACTTTAGGCAGTTTCTTTTTTCTTAAGAAACAAAGTTATTTTAACACACATTTAGTGATGAAGGCCTAGTCAAATGGCAGATTTTGTGTCACAAAACAGCGTTAACAGTGTCAGGAAGGTCCTTGGTGCAAAAAGTGCTTGGTAGCTGTGGTTCAGTAGTGAGCCACTGTCCACTCCTGTAATTTCTGCCCTTTGATTTTGGATCTCCCCTTGGAAGACCATGGTGTCCGCAGTTTCCTGCTCTGAATAGACATCTGGTTTTGACAGTCCCTCCTGTTGTCTCGATACCAGCTTCCTCAAGCCCTCCTCCATATGCAGCTCTCTGCCACTTTCCTCCGTAGATCAGGAGTTTAAAAAAAGCCTTTAGCAATTCTCCTCCTCCACTTTTCTATTCTTGCAGATAATTTAGTGGAAAAAAACAAAATCTGATTTTACCTTTAGCAAGTGTTTTTTTTTCTCCTTCTTTTTTCAAGCAATTCTTATAATGGCTGGAAATTTTCTTTAAACTGAAGTTTTGCTTTCTCTGGGGAAAACTTCCTATCAGCCCAGCTTCCCTCTGTATTCAACACAGTTATTTCCTAAAATGCATAATAGCTTTTCAATTTATATGACTAATTTTGACCTCATGGTTACCTGGGACATGCCTGGATCCATAAAGAAATACAAATTTTCTGAGTTTCTCAGCAATAGGAGTGTCACAGCCGAGCGGATATTCCTAGGAATTGGTGTTTCCAGCAGTCTCTCTGCTTCGAAGGAAGACTGGATTCTGCAGCTGCCAGTCAGCTCTAAAACAACCCCTTCAAGGAAAGGGCCTGGCCTGCCTCTCACCGCAGTAGCTTAGCTAATTTGCTACAGCTTTTGAGATTGAAAATAACTGGTATACTTTTTTTGTCTTTCTTTCTTTTTTTCCTTTTTTTTTCCCCTTTTCACTGCAGCGGAGACCAGGAGTGACAGAAATGGATTCCTAGGAGCCGCGAGCTGTCGGATCACTGCGAGGGTTTTTCATTTCCACGCTGATGGTGTCCGAGATCTGGGTGGTGATTGATGACCTCCTGTAGGATGCAGTTAGAATTCCCTTTTAGCACCCCGGCGTTCCTAACGCTGTAATTGATTATGTGGGAATTGCAACAGACCTCTTCTTTTTCTCCCTTTTGTCAATTCCCTGGTTACTTCGACTAGGGTATTTTAATGAATACTTAATAGGCGAGGCCAAACAGATAAGTAGGTAGGAAGCATTGAAATATTTCAGAAGTCAGTGACCTCTTTATGGAACATATAATTTATCAGGAATCCTTCTTTTTAAAGCATTGCAACAGCAGTTACAAAACAAATTTTGCCAGAGCACCTATCAAGGTGTTTATTGATTTTCAGGGATGAGGCACTTACTTACTTACTTAAATGGAACAGAAACGGAAGGAATAATTGCATCTAATGAGGAAAAATATATATATATACAATAATTGGTCATTTGTATTGTAAAAAGTTCTGGTTTCTTCTGATATCCCATTTATTATTATACTTAGTGGAGGAACCAAGGAGAAAACTCTCTGCATGCGTCCACCTCAGATCTAGCGGATCTGCAGAAAATCTTCCTACCAAAAAGTTCTCCAGCAGTTGTGACTGCGGGAGGCATCTGGACATGGCCAGCAGAGCCCCTCATAAGGCTTTGCTGAGACTGAGAGCTTGAAACAACAGCTTAGAAAATTTTGCTTAAAAAGTCTCTAGGGACTTGCTAGAAAACTTACTGATGGCAATGAACAGATTTTTGTTTCTGTGTCTATTACATTACTGGGTTTGAAGGGAGAAATGGAAGATACTGGGAAAGAAAGATACGCAGGAGGGAAAACAGCAAAACAAATGTTAGGAGCCGGACTGGATTCTGTTGCAAAGCATAAGGGTATTTTCTTACCGAGTGTTGGCTACGAGATACCAGTTAAATTATTATGAATTTATGTTCTGATTCTCCCCATTGCCCAAAGTAAAGCATATGCTCACTTGGTTAAGGGCATGTAAATTCATCATCATAAATTCATGCACAGGAGCATAATTAAAGTAGAATTTGGCTGCCTTTGTCAGAGCATTTGATGTTGCCATGAATTTTATTTCCTTATGAAGCTATTTTGTGGGGTGTAATCATGCCAA